AAAAAAAAAAAAAAAAAAAAAAAAAAAAAAAAAAAAAAAAAAAAAAAAAAAAAAAAAAAAAAAAAAAAAAAAAAAAAAATCAAACAATAAATATTATTATTAAATCAAAAGATTAGATATCATTGATGACTATAATGCACGCGTAAGTAAATAATACTATGTATACTACACTTTTGTTGTTCTGGCTATGGCAAGGTTGACACAGTTGTTTTTACGCGCCTTTTAATTCCATTAAAAAAATTAGAATGAAATAAAAATTGGCTGTAGCACGTTTTGCATTATTAAAGTGCTCAAAATACGTAAAATAAATATTTTATGCTTCTTATCGACATTTTTAATCCACAGCAGCGCACGTACAAGTATTGCGTTGCTCATACGACACGGTGTACTGCATGCATGCTAATGACGAATAACTAGCATATAACTGCAAATAACTTTTAAAGTAATGTTTTTATATCTTTAATTTTATTTTAAAGGCATATTTTTGTACAAAAATAAAAAAAAAAAAAACGCGACCTCTTTTTGTAAATTTTATATTAGAATATATTAGCTTCAAAGTGTTAGGATGCTTACTCTAGAGAAAAAGTATAAAATGTCAACAATTTATGGAATATATTTACAGCGGGCACCTTTTAAAATGAAAATATGGATATGGATGGAATTGAAACTTCTAGTGCCTACATAGAAAACCCAGGAAAAAACTTTAACTGCGGTTTCCGAAGCTATAATGTCCCGCACAAATATAAAATGAGCTTGTTTTCGGTCGTTTCGTTTGTACAGCAGCTACTTGCTATAGGGATCCGATCTGAATAATTTTTTCAAGGATTACATCAATGCTTAATGCAATAAGGCGTGCCAAATTTCGTGAAGATATATCGTCAAATACTAAAGTTTTCTATACAATCACTTGAGTGCAATGGTTCAGTTAGTATGGCAGCTACGTGCTATAGTAGTCCAATATCCATGGTTGCGACAAATGAGAAGCTCCTTAAAGAGAAAAGGACTTGTAAAAAATTTCAGATCGATATCTCAAAAACTGAGGAATTAGTTTGCATATACAAAGGAATGGTAGGAAGGGCAGACGAAGACAGACGAGTTGAAATGACTCCGCTCGTCATGCTGATCATTCATAAATACATTTTCTGCGACATTTCCGTTTAGGTGTTAAAAGATTTGAAGGCAACTTGATATACCCTTTTAATGGTAGGAAAAGAGCCTTCGAAATTAACGGCCCGTAATATATTTATATTTACGCATGGTATATGCGCTCATGCCGTTTAAATTTTTTTTGCAGCTTTAGTTTTCGCACCAATTTAGACGATATCACGAAGCAGTCTGCACGACAAGTCTTAATTATAAATAATTTCTTAATAAATTTCGTCTTTTAAATTACGTCGAGAACCTGTTACGCTGAGCTATAATAACATATTCACCCACCCGAAGACATACACTTACGCATGTGTTACATTCAGAGCAATTTGCAACAACAACATTGTCAGCTGTAAGCGCATATATTTGCATATATGTTTAGCTACCTAAATATCTGCATGTAATCGTTTATAAAGTGGCATAAACAAAAGCAAAATCCTCAAACATAATAACGAACACAGAGTGACATGTCAATTATGTACCTGGTTAACCACATAACGGTGCAAATAACCCAATTGCGCGCGGCTCGCTTGGTGGTGGTGCGCCATACAACTACACATATCCACAGCGGCTTTTGGTATTTTTCACAAATGCCTCGCGGCCGCTGTTGCCTTTTGTGATTCTCTTTTCCCCCAGTTCGGTTAATGGCAATACCACGCCCGACGTCGACATAACTGTAATAATAATAATTTTGTGAACCATAATTTTAATTGACTGTGATTGTGCGCTGCGTGCAGGAAAAGCCGAAGAGAGCACACGCCAACAGAAAGATGGAAGAAGGAAGACGCGCCGTGGGATACGAACGCGGCAGCGCATTTTCTTCATGCCAGCAGCAATGAGTGCTATACAAATATTCACCAGCACACAACTGGGGAAAAACGCGCAAACTTTGTAGAGCTTTTTTTTTAATATGAAGTCGCCCATCCACAAAGCCATTGAAGCCACTTGACATCGTTGTCAACATTGCAAAGCACACATACTCCTGTTTTTAATTATTGTAAATTATTTTAAAGGAATATAAAGGCAAGTTATTACCACCGAACGGGCAAGTTGCACATTACCGTGTAACGGAAGGAGACCAGCAACTTCGAGCAAAGAGCGCCATAAAACAGAGTACAGCGAAACAGCGGACGTGAAAATCTGCCGGCAGCGGCTTAATGTAAATAGCGGTAAATTAATACACTTTGGTATAAGTTAGTAGTATTGAAGGTCTGTGGTAATGGTTCTTACGCACATTTTTTATTTTATTTTTTGCCTTAAGATTAATTAGTGGATGTCTAAGGGATGTCTTTCAATCAATCGGTGTATGTCTTCCTATAGCCACCCTATATGGAATATGAGAAGCTGCATATTATTGAAGAAAAAATGTCCATTATTGTGAAATCGCTGCGTCTTCTTTTGTTGCCAAAATAGCAGATCTATCTGAAAACTTCTCTGGTAAACATATTTCTTTGGCAAAATTCGGTTTTTTTATTCAACATAGCTCCCTTCAGGTGTGATACACTGATTATCAGGTCAATTAATTCGGCCTTACATAGTTAATTCACTAGAATTAAATCCATATGATTTTTCGAGAGCCATAAACCTTCAAGTTGACAGCCATTGGATTATTAGTTTGCGAATTATGTCACTTTGAGTAAAGCACTTTTTAAAGGGAAAAAATACAGTTGAAACAAACCCTTGGCTTGTTGATAAGTTTGCGGGCACTCTTCCTGCAAAATCAACCATCAAGGATATGTTAAGTTTAGACGTGCTGAAATGAGCACCGAAGTGGCGAACGTAGTGGACGCTCAAACGATGTTTTTAGCAACGAAAAGACTAAATAAGCCCAGCAACTAAGTATGAATGATCACAAAGTGAGGTTTTATGGATGACAGAAACTCTAAAGATATCAACTGCATAAGGAATACATATCATGCATTAATATTTGAGTAGAAGAAAGCTCTGTGCAAAGTGGCTGCCGTTCGAGCTTAGTTTTGACCAAAAACAACAACAAGTTGATGAGTAGTGTTTAGAGATGTTAAAGCATATTAAACCGTAGTTTTTGCGTCGATGTAATACAGTGGATGAAACATTTTCTCCAGATCTGGCCACTAGCGACTATTTCAATTTTTCAGATCTCAAAAAAAATCTAAAGAAATTTTACTGTAATGAAGAGATGATGGCCGAAACTAAGACCTGTTGCAAAAACCAAATGGCAAAATAAAAATGATATTGAAAAAAAAAATGATATTGACAAATTCGCTTTAAATAATTAGATTCGAAAATTGTTCTGTCCACCACGACGAATTCGCTAATTTAGTTGTACTTCTGTTGCAAGTTGATGAGTTCCCAAACAGGCTGCCATGCAGGCCAATAAACATAACAGACGCGCACAATCTATCAATCAATTCAATGAATATTTCAGGAGTTTTTGTGCACAACGAAACTATCTACACGAATATGATTGATATTTCGCTGTGTGCTTTATTACTTAGTTTGACAGCGGCTTAACTCCTTGGTCTAGCACAACAAAATTTATGGATTGCGTCGACGGAAATTAGGTAATAAATGCCAGTGATTAATGCGAATTTGATGTAATTATTTATTTGTAAGCCACACCGTTATGTCATTAACACGAATGTTGCTGTTGTTTTTGCGTTCACGTTATAATTGACGCGGACGTACGCCCACCATATCATTGGGTGGAAATGTTTTCTTCGAATTACAGAATTACATACACATGTAATTTTGTTATATGCGAAGCATGTGGAGAACCTGGTGAAACGAAGCAGAAACCAGAAAAGCAGAATGCGGAGCATGCTGTTAATTTAATTGCGAATTTAATTGCGCAGCTGCAAGATGAAATCGTGTGGCAGCACAAACGACATATATGTGTGTATATGTTGTGCACAATTATTAATATTTGAAATCAACAGTTCCAGGCAAAATCAAGCGTTATTGGCTTTTGAGCGTGTTTGTATGTACGGCTGACGGTGGAGTAAGCCTCTTGCTTTTTCCCTTTAATCATTCCCAATACAAATGTTTCATACATTTATGTCAGGATATCTTTTGTTGTATGCTTTTGTGTTTCGCCCGCAAGGAGTTAATTGGATGTCGTGCCGTGAAAACCATCCGGTCTTATAGCTTTTACTTTTTGCGAAGGATGTAATATTGTTTGGCGGCATGAAAGTACGGGATAGGTTTAAAAATATTATCCTTTATTATTGAAATTATTCAATTTATGTTCTTTATAATTTATGTAGATTATTTCTTGGAGGAAAATTCGTAGTCTGGTGCCGAAGATGAGCAAAATCGGAATGTGAGCCCACGCTTCTGAAAGGTTTCATTTATCATAATTAGGTTGATTTGTCGCAGTTCAAGTGTTTACGGACTTTTTAAAAACTGAATAACAGTTTCATAATGGAACTCTCTAGTACATCTTCAGCCTTATTAAAATGATTTTGGAAAGTCCATTTTCACTATAAAAAACATTCGCCATAGACAGTATGAAGTACAAAATGGCCGATGAATTTTGCTACATTAAGAAACTCAAATAATTTTTTGTATGGAATTCATTTTTCTTATATTCATGTTAAAACTCATTCAATTTTATTAAATATAGCTTAATTAGTCTTAAAAATAATGGAATTTAAATGCCCCCCTGCTCGTTGATGCATGTGCGGCATCTTACCAAAAAGTTGTTCATTACTGCTTGGAGAGTTGAGACAGGAATAGCCGCAATTGTTTCTCGAATGGATTGCCTTAGTTCATTCAAATTTGTTGGTTTTGCTTTATACACTTCCTATTTGCAATAATCCCA